TACTTGCCTACATAATATCTTCATCATCTCCCTAAGGGAGAGCACCCAAAAGTCCCATCTTATCAGAGGTGTGGCTCAAAGTCTAGAATTTCTAAATGGTACATTATAGTTCATTACATAAGGTCTGAATGGGTAGAACAGAGCAAGAAAACAGAATAAATACTTCCATTTGGGAAAAGAAAGAATGGGAGCCTGGCTAGGCATGGCTCAGCGGTTGAGCGTCGGCCTAGGATCCAGGAAATCACTGTTCGATTCCCGGTCAGGGCACATGCCTGGGTTCCGGGCTCGATCCCCAGTCGGGGGCGTGCAGGAGGCAGCCAATCAATGACTCTCTCATCACTGATGTTTTTATCTCTCTCTCTCCCTTTTCCTTCCTCTCTCTGAAATCAATAAAGATATATTAAAGAAAAAAAAGAAAAGAATGGGAGATGCTCAGTAGCTTTGGTCTGTGGTAACCTTGAAATCCTGCTTGGCTGACATTTTGGGATCCCATAGCCAGGGCATGTGGAATGTTCTCTGATCAGACCTGGATTCTGCTTTCCAAGGCAGGTCTAAGTCCCAGGGACTTTTTGTGGTCCCTGAACCGAACCCCTGGCAGGTAATTTTCCCCCAACAATCTTTTTGTCACTTCTGAAATAGTGTCAGCGAACAGACCTTCCTTGGTGCCTTACTTAGTTCCTGCTCCTAGATGGTTAGGGGACTGAGGGTTGGTTCGTGATTAATTTCAAGAGCTCGCTCAAAAAACTTAGTCAGCGTCTTATCTAAATTGGTTCTTCTTGTGACATAATTACCAGAATATCTCTAGTTTTTTCCTTTTCATTCCCATAACTCTTTCTCTCTCTTGACTTAATGTTCGTTTACTGGAACTACCCTTACACTCTGTTCTGACTCCTTTTATTCAATTGAAAGGATGTACCAGCTGCTTCATTGTGATTCTTGCCCATAGGAAATTTATTTGGTTGAGAGGTTTCACTGGGCATTTCTCCCTCAAGCTTATGTTTTGCTTTTGGGGGATAGAAATTGTTGTTGTTGTTTTAATCTTGAGAGCCTCTGAATTTCTGGACTCCCTTCATTCTCTTTTTTGTTTGTTTGTTTGCAAACCTGCCAACTCTTTCCTGAGCTCATCTCTTTCTTGCATTATTACCTTGCCAAATGCGGACAACAGCACCCAACACACACAGCTAACATTCTGTTTTCTAGTCGCTTCCTCTAGAGCTTTTGTACTTCTAGGTGTAATTATCTGCCTCTTAAGGTATAGTAGGCAATAGTTTTATCAAATGTTTTGCCATTGCATAGTGTGGGTCATCACTTATCTAGCCTATAATTTCATTGTCATCACAGCCTGTCACCTGACCTCTGCTGACAATGCCACTATTTTAGCCCTTTGCAATGGTAACACCTCAGTTCTAGGCATCAATTTCTTTTTCTTTTCTTTTTTAAAATATGTCTTCATTGATTTCAGAGGAAGGGAGAGGGAGAGAGAGAGAGAAACATCAATGATGAGAGTCATTGATCGGGTGCCTCCTGCACGCCCCCGACGGGACTGAGCCCGCAACTCGGGCCTGTGCCCTGACCGGGAATTGAACCGAGATCTCCTGGATCCTAGGTTGATGCTCGACTGCTGAGCCACGCTGGCCAGGCTAGGCATCGATTTCTGTATCTACATACATACTACTAGGTTATGGCAGCATATCTTGATTAGATTCACCTTTTTTTTTTTGAGTGAACAAAAATTCTTTAAAAAAATATTTTTCAATTAAAATTTACATTTATTATTATTTTGTATTAGCTTTAGGTGTACAGCATAGTGGTAGACAATCCTATACTTTACAATGTGATCCCTCCCGATATTTTCAGTACCCACATGGCACCATCCATAGTTATTACAATATTAACTATATTCCCTATGCTGAACTTTACATCCTTTTAACTATTTTGTAACAGCCAATTAGTACTTATTAATGCCTTCACCTTTTTCACCCAGCCCCACCTCCCCCATAAAAACTTTTGAGGGTTGGATATTTAAAATGAAGTGTGTTTTACCACTAGGTTTTCTTTCTGCTATGTTGCTAGCATTCAGCCTATTGGGAACATTTTATTAACCTTTACTTATTTTCATTGCCTGGGTCAGCACTGTCCAATATAAATATAAATATATAAATGTAAATACACAAACTATACGTGATTTTGTAATAGCCATTGGTGATCGGTGAGATTTTGCAATGGCTGTCTTAGATCTCCGGAGTCTTGCAGATTGTCTTTTGTCCAGTGAATCCTTCTTGGTTGCTAGTGACCAGATAGTTTGTGATCATGTGATCATCTCTATTCCTGTTATATAGGACTGACTGACATGGCAACTGGATTGAGCAAAAATTGCTTTTAAAAGGTATGTACACATTAGAAAAATATAATGATTTATAGATCATTTCAAAGAGAGCTTATGGGACCAAAACCAGGACCTCTTAATGCTGTAACCTAAGTTTGAAGTTCTCCATAGGATGTAATAGACGCTCAATAGTGCAATGTTTCCTGAGGAGATCAAAGGTAAAATAAATAAATATATAAAACTAAATGTGTACATTTAACTATAAATATCTCCAACAATCTCATGTCATTATGTTCTTGGCTAATATATGTGTGTTTGCTTCCTTTCCATAATAGGAGTTTAAACTAATTAAGGTGGAGATTAGTCTATTACTTATAATAGGCCCAACAAACATGTAGTCGGGCGTAAAAACATCTTGCTAACTTCGATGTTTGATCAGCTATACTATCTTACTTCATGGGTGGCTGTGCATAGCTCATTCTTGGAACTACAGAGTCTCAGCTGTCTCTTTTTATGGGCTCTTGAATTGTGTGTGGAGTGTCCTAACTGTCATTGTGTTGCATGGTGGCTCCACCTGCTTTATGGAAACGCTTAAAGCTGGTAACAGCTTGGGTCAGGGGTGGCATGGGGCCAGTTAGTGAAGGGCTTTCCCCGTAGTCAGCTCTGTGTTCCTCATATATTCATTATTGTGTCCTCAGTATTAGTGCATGAATTACACTGTAAAGGAGCTCAGTAAATGTTAGATGAAATAATGATCTGGATCTGTTGATTCAGTTCAAACTTGGTGAAAGTGGGTTACTAGTTTGGATACTGATAAATTAGTTATTTTTACCTTGATGGTAAAAATGCTGTGACTGCTGGATGTAAAATGTCACTGTTGCTTCTTTCTTACACGGAAGGCCATTTAATTCTCCCCAGCAATCCAGAAAATCCTCTTGTATGAACTCAGGCACTTTTAATTCAAGATGACTTCCTTGTTTGTTCTTTCACGAGAGCTGGTGTGGTCTTCTGCGTGTTGAGGTCTGGCTCTGGGTGGATGAGAGCCCACTGAAGAAGGCCAGTGGCTCAACCATGTGATTTAATATGCTCTTGAAGGTCTGTCGCATACGTTGCTTTGGTGGCATGAGTGATACATGAAAGCATGGCTCTTGATTTTATGTTGTTAGCTTCACTGAATATCTGGTAAAGTCTTGAAAATTATGATAGGCTTAAGGGTTTCAGTCTAGCTAGAGGTGGTTGGCATCTGTGTATGCATTAAAAATACGCTTTTTAAAATTGAGATTGTATATTTGGGGATGCATGTTTAGAAGAGACTGGTAGAGATTATTGGGGAAACTAAGTTACCCCAACTCCATGAAGACCCCAAAGACTCATCTAAAACATAGAAGCAAGTGCAAAATAAACTAATTTTGAACAGAGAGGTAACAAGGAAGGTATGATGCCTAAGAGAGAGAGATTCAAGGAAGCCTTCTTATAGGAGTTCAACGTTTGTTCCAGAGGAGAGAGGCCGAGAAGAATTCATGGGCATGGGGAGTAGAAATGTGGGTGAAAGACCCATGATCACAGAAGAATTTAGATCAAATTTGGAGGCTCTTCCAATGAACCCAAGAGCAGCTTCTTCATTTCCTTCAGTTAAAGAAAATGGAGGAAAGTTTTCAAACATGTGATAGATGAAAATAACTTTGTCCTGCTAGAATGTGCCCTGCATTTTTAAAAAAAGCACGTGTAATTATACCTAATTTTAAGGGGGATTAAAAAAAAGGTAAGTTACTGTTATTTTAAAAATGTCTGTATTTCTAAGGTACAATGCCTGACACATAGCGTGTGCTTAATAAATGTTTGTTGAACTGAACTTAACTGAGACAAATTAACCTTTCGTAGGTTATTTAAAATTACACATCAGAGTGTTTAAAGGTTCTATTTGCTAATCCATTTTGGTTAAAAAAAACAAAACCATCCTCAATCAGAGATAGCCAAGACAGTGGTCATCTATATGTTGTAGGAATAATGATTATTTATTAAGCATCAGTAAGAATCTAACCATGGAGTTGAAATAGAATTAGTTCAGGTTACCATGAAGCTACCTGGGGACGTAATTTTGAAATCTCTCATTGACGTCACTCACTTCTTTGGTTTTATTTTCCCATTCACAAAATAGAGCTAGAGAGAGGCCTGCCATTTAATACCAAGGCTCCTCCGAGGCCGACTTATCTCCCGCTTAAATCACGGGTCATATTGCATGACTGGAAAGTAGAACATACAGTGCGTGTTAAGAGTCCTTAGCCTTCTGGGGAAGATTATAAAAAGATCATGACAGCACTTTATAACTTGGTTAGTCTCTGTAGCAAATTAATTAAGAATTTTGCTGTAATTTGAGGTAAAGGGGGGTGGAAGTGGGGTAGAAGAAGAGGAAGGTTTGGCCCTTTTTCCATTCCCCTTTTTGAGAGTCACCCTTTGATCCCCCTCAGGAAGTGGAATAGAAAAATCAAAACAAAAACTACATTCGTCAGTCACTCTGGGGCAACCACATTTGTAGACCGTAAGCAGGTCAATCGAAACAAGGACAGTGATTGCTATAAAACCGACAGGTGCTCTCATTGACACAACACAGGCATAGCCAGGGCGTGCCCAGAAAGAGCTACTGCACAAAGCAGGCATCCAGAGCGCGACGGCAATGACCACCCTGCAGCCCGCAGCCATGGTGAGTACAATAACTCCCGTTTGGCGATAGGCATTCCCTAGGATTTCAGAAAAGCAGGTTTCTCAGGAATTAGGCTCAATTGGGGTTATTTCTTTTAAAAACAGAGCTGACTTTAATTTTGACCCCTGTCTGGTGGAGAAAAAGGAAAAGTAACCAGAAGTTATAATGGGGTGTAAGATAGCTCTTTACCTGATGGCTATTGTATAGTTGGCACGAGCTTGTGCAGCTGTTGGTGCCACGCACGACATTCTCTCTCCTGTGGCCACCATTGTAGAGTTAGACTGGCTCAAAACTCTAACCTCATGGCAGAGTGTAGCCAGCCTTTCAGGATGCATATATATATCAAGAAAGTTGGGGTCCCAAATGGGTTTAATAACCTCCCCAAGACTATAGGTAGAGGAGTGCCCTGGATGGAGGGAGCGAAACCTCCCAGGGATGAGCCTGGACAGCTCCTAGAGGAGGGAAATTTGCCATGTCTTGATGGCTGATTATTTTTGCATCATCTCATTCCTCCTCGAGGAGAGAGAGATGTTAGTGTGATGGAAATCTTCATCCCCTGGGCGAGACTCTTGCCTGGCAGTAGTCAGGTAGGGCCCATGAAGAATTTTGATGTGGAGAAGCATGAAAACAGGGCTTGGGAAATCACTCACCATGCCACTGGCTTAAACCATCCCTCTTTTTTTCCTTGCTTATAAGTCATGCAAATTAAAAGAGCTTGGATTTCATCGAAACATCATGGCATATGGTGATGATAATACCGTATTATGTTTATATATTGGTTTAGAGATGACAAGAAATGCAGTGAAGTGCAGCATTTAGGGGCATAGGCTTTGGAGCCAGACCTGGCTCCACCACTTACTCAATGTGGGATTTGGGGTGAATTTTTATTTTTATTATTACTTTTAAAAAATATATCTTTATTGATTTCAGAGAGAGGAAAGGAGAGGGAGAGAGAGAGCTAGAAACATCAATGATGAGAGAGTCATTGATCGGCTGCAGCCCGTAACCCGGGCAGGTGCCCTGACCGGGAATCGAACCCCGATCGCCTGGATCCTAGGTCGATGCTCAACCGCTGAGCCACACACGGCTGGGCTGGGGTGAATTTTTAACCACTCTGAGCATTATTATTCCCCTTATCAGTACAGGGCAATAATAATGGCATCTCCCTCATGGGATTTTTGGGGGGATTAATTGATATCGCAATTGACTAAATCTATATTCTGAAACTGCGTGTCTATGCATGCATAGTTTTTAGTTAACCTGGACATTTTAATTTAACAATCGATAAAGATAGAGAAAACATTCAATAGGTGTTAATATTAATAATATTGTTTTTACCTCTGAGACGCTCATCAACCCAGTGAAGTAGGTTGGGAACTAGTTTCCCTACTATACACATGAACAGCCTCTCTAGTTAAGTGATTTAACATCACTGGGTACTATACACAAAGAACTGGGACACAAATCTAGGTTCAGTGGCTCCAAGCACAGTGTTCTCCTCGAAGGGCTCAAAGGCAAGATTTCTGAACCTCTCAGAGAAGAAGTGTTGTATAAATCCTTCTTAAGAACCAGCAAGAGCCTTAGTGAAGCCTCTCTTAATTGCATAACCACTAAGATCTAGTTTCAGAACCACAGCTCTGTGGAGCAAAGCAGAGGGATCTGCAGACAGCATCTGATTTCCTGATAAAGGGCCACGTGCAAGACCTACAACACTCGCACATTCCTGACACAGCTGTCACAGCGCTTAGAATGCTTGGCTCCTCTAGTGGGACAAAGCTAAGATTAAACACTGTGAGTAGCTATATGTTGGTGACAATAATAAGGATCTTCAATTGCACGGGGCCGGCCACTGACAGCTAGGTTTGAGTCCCCAGACTGGCATTGACAGGCTGGTGAACCCAACCAAGTTATTTGTTGCCTCTCAGACACGATTCCTTCACCTGTCTAATCGGGATAATTAATATTAGTTCCAACTACCCTACAAGAAAGTTATGAGGATCCAATGTTTAAAGAGATGGGAGAGTGTTTTTTAAAATATTCAAAGGATGATAAGCAAATATAATAATGACATGTTAGGAGCATAGGAATTTTTGCTAAATCATATAACCTCAAGGTACAGTTAAGCTTTGATAATTAAATATAAAAATGATTTAGTGAATATAACATGGAAGAGAAAAGAGAAAACACAAAGGAGGAATTAATGTAAGAAATCTAAGGAAGTTATTGACAGGCTCGAGAAGCTATCTAAGCAGGCACCCGTTTACTTTTTAAAATGTTACAGTGCTATATCTAGATAGAAGGTGCCTGAGGGCAAATTTCACATCTTTCCTGTCCACTGTGTTCATCAGCACGTTGCTGACTTAACAACAGTCACCTGTACTGCATATTTACCCTGTGCTGACCTTATATGGACCCTATCATTGAATCTTCACATTTTCTGGTGGAGGAAACTGAGTCAGCTAGTAAGAGTCCTGGAACCGAGTTATAACCCAGGACATCTGACTCCAGAGCCCATATCCACCACACTATAGAGACAAGGGAGTTGCTGAATGAATGAATGGTTGTGGGAGATAATGAAAGTAGATGACTGCTGGTTATCTGAAGGGGAAGCAGACTCATTGGGGCTTATCTGCATCAATCTTGCTTTCACCTTCTTTTTAGTATCGGCTACCTTGGTACAGCACGCTGACACCATAACCTCTTTGTTTCTTTCCATAGTCTCTGTTGTTGGGCACCTTAGTGCCGGTGCTTCTCTCAATTAGCATGGATAACTGAAACTTTGATATAAGGTTTTTCTTAATTCGTTGATTGTGGGAGATCAATTGTATTGTTAATTTAACTGTATTGCTTTGTTTACCCATTCACTCACCCACTTTTTCATTTATCCGGAAAGTATTTATGGAACACCGTTTCTAGGAACTTACAATCTAACAGGTGTAGATCTGGCACGAACACAAATAGTACATTTCCAGACAGTAAAGAAATGCTGCTTGAGTGGTAGATGGTAAAAGCTTCATGATTTAAGGATAATTAACACCCTTCTAACTGAACTACTTTAGGGACAGTTTCTGGAGTTGACCATGTCCAAGTGGGGCCTTGATGGAAGGGTAGGATTTGGAGAGAGAGAGGTGGGCAGTGTCTTCTAGGTGAAGTAATAGCTGGGAGGAAGGATGCTGTGGAGGATTCGTGGCATATGAGGTTGGAAATAAACACAAGAGCTATCGTTTAGTAAGCCTCTATTTTTGTTAGATTTACAGGTGCTTTACATAGAACATTTCTTTTGTTTTTGTGACTATTATCATAAAGCAGGTATTATAGTCCAGTTTGGAAAGAGAAACCAGAGGCTCAGGAGGAGGCTGGGTCAAGATTTAAACCCAGCCCCAGATCCTGTGGTCTCTCTGTCTCACACTGCGGAGGCTCAGTCACCAGGCTGAATAATGGGTTTAGTTCTCAACTTGGTAGCCTGATATCTTCATGCATGACCGTTCCCATTTCTAGGTGAGGATCTGAGGTTCAGAGAGAAGCTCTAATCTCATAAAAGACCAGGATTGCTGAATTCAGATAAAGCATAAGATGTCTCTTGCCAGCAAGGGACACCACAGTCCCTAACCAACTGCAACCTCCTGTATTTTCCAGGTCAAGTGTCTGCTGCTGCTGTTCGTGTTGGGGCTCACTCTCCTGAGGGAGGGGGCAGCTCAGAAAAACCCCAAAGCAGGGGATACCGCCCTTTGTCCAACTCTGGAGGACAACAGCGTGAGGGTTGACATTCGCATCCTGAGTCAAAGCCGGGCTGTTGCCATCGCACACGACTTCCAGAACCGCTCCAGCTCTCCCTGGGATTACAAGTAAGTGCAAAGGAGACTGGTCTTCACATTCTTTTAAAAATATGCTAATTTATTCTAATCAGAAAGTAGAAAATTTAGTAAAAATAGAAAGACTAAAAGCCCTCACATTTACTCTTAAAAACAGAAATCCCACTTTACCTGGGAGCTCGCATTTTTCTTGCTGTTTTGGGCTAGGTGGTCGAAAGTCTTACTATTTTGCTTTCAACTTCTCATTGATTCTGCCCTTTTCTGCTCCACCCTAGACTGGACTTTACAAACTTTCTGTGTTGGAAGAGAGGTTTCTTTAAAGCAGCCCACACAATTATCTCTGCATGGGAATAAGTGGGAGCCAGAAAAGTCAAGTGTGGAACGATCCATTGAGATTAGACATTGGGCTTCAAGGGGTGGGGAAGAGAGCCGAGGGGTGAAGGAAGGCCTGTTTGGGAAGCGGGATGCTAGGCGGGAATGTTCGGGGGACTTTGTCCATGTGTAGGCTCCTGAACTATCAGGCCCTCATCTATACCGTCCCAATATAAGCATGAGAACAGATTCCAGGCACAGGAAGTGCTCCTGGTTGCCTGCACTGCTTCCCCCATGAGGGGGTGTGTATGCTGACAAGCTCGCTGCACTGGCTTCGCTGCCTTAACTTCCTGGCGGAGGGGGCTGGTGAGGGAGAAACTGAGAGAAGGCCCTGGATTTATAAACCTCTGGGGCTTGGGTTTGTTTTTCCAAGCAGCAGGCTTTGTAGACTTTATATTGAGAGACCTACTGGTGATTTTAGTCTCTAAGCAAAGGATGAATAATAATTATAATAATAACATTGTAAAGAAAAATAAATGAAAGATCTAACATGTATCGGATGCCCACATTTTACAGTGTGGCCTTTCCTATGCGTTTGTATCACTGAGTGTCCTCAACAATTCCATGAGAGAGATACATGAGAATGAGAATCCCCATTTCATAGTTGAGGAAACTGAGGCTCAGGGAGCTGAGCACCTGCCAGAGGGCTGTATGAATCCAGGTCTGTCCCGGAGCCTGTGCTATAGCCCAGAGGCGCTCAGAACCACCTCCTGCAGGCGAGGGCCCGCTGCAGGGCTCTCATCCCTTGTCCGTCTTTCCCTCCCGTCTCACCACCTGCTTCTGCCTGCTCCCCCTGCAGCATCACCAGGGACCCCCACCGGTTCCCCTCCGAGATTGCAGAGGCCCAGTGCCGGCACTCGGGCTGCATCAATGCCGAGGGGAAAGAGGACAGCTCCATGAACTCCGTCCCCATCCAGCAAGAGTTCCTGGTCCTCCGGAGGGAGCCCCAGGGCTGCTCCCGCTCCTTCCGGCTGGAGAAGGTGAGGGTGACTGTTGGCTGCACCTGTGTCACCCCCATTGTCCGCCATGTGCGGGACCTGAGAGCTGCACCTCAACTTGGCTGAAGAAGCATAGAAGTGCCACCCCTCATCCAGCGCCCTGCAGCTAGTCCTGTGTGGTCCCCGTTTCTCTCCACTTCACAGGACTCTTGCTGAGGTCTGCATGGGATTCTCAAAGCTTTGTATTAGACATAGTGTTACCTTTCTGGAGCCCTCCCAAATCCTGACATAATCCTGAGATGTTTCAATGTCCAACCCCC